GTGAAGGACAGCACAGGGGAGGGGGGCCGGCAGTTCGCTGTACACAGGTTGCCGTGTGCTGAGATGGGCGCCGGCCTGTTTGCAGGGTGGGAGCGGATGATGGAGAGCCCAGGGCTGACGCCAGGCGCAGGGGCGCGGGGGCGGGCGCGGGCCATCCAGCAGTCGACATGCTGGGCATGCAAAGGGCTTCGCTGCGGCACCAGGCCGCCGGGCTGGGCCTCCCTCGTTGCCCCTGAGCCGAGGCCACGCCCCCGCCCCCATTCGACGCCACCCAACCCCGCGCCTGCCTTGCAGGAGCTGGCTCACGCAAACACGCACGCATGCCCAGAGGCATGCAGGCACACTGGCACACACAAATATGCACATCGTGCATGAATTGACACCAACACATGCATGCACGCGCGCGCACACACACTCACACACACACACACACACACATGTCCTCGCACACACAAACGTGCACGCGAGCACGCACTTACACACACACACACACACGCACACACACACGCACACACACACACGCGCACACACACACACACGCGCACACACACACACCTCTGCGAGCTTGCCAGGCAGGCGGCTGACAATCGCGAGCTTCGCAGCGTCCCAGGCGGCGCAGTAGTGCGGCAGCTGGTACGACGGCATTCGATGCACCAGATCATCCACCAGCCCCAACACCTGCGCCAGATCAAGCAGCGCCACCGACCCGCCACCGCCGCCGCCCTCCCCGCTGCACACGCTGCTGCTGCGGCTGCGCCCGCCGAGGCCGCCGGGACCTCCGCTGCCGGCGCTGCGGCCGAAGCTGCACGCGGCGAGCAGGGCCTCTGCGGCGTCCTGCGGGCTGCCGCCGTGCAGCAGCGGCCACGAGAGGCGCGCGGCCTGCAGCTTGGCTGTCTCCGCGCCGCCGTGCGCCTTGGTCGGCGCCTCTGGCAGCACCCACGCCGCGACGAACGCGCCGCGGCCGCCGCCAGGCCCGCCGCCGCCGCCGCTCCCGTGGGGACCCTCCTCGTAGACAATGCACGCGCACGCGCCGCTGGGCGACGGCGCGAGCGCGACGGCGGCCGCCGGGCCGCGCCGCCGCCGCTGCTGCTGCTGCTGCAGCGCCGCCGGCGGCAGCGCGCACCGCTGGCGGCACCAAGCTGCGGCGCCGCCGCCGCCGCCGTGGCTGACCTGGAAAGCTCCGCCATCGGCGTGCAGCACCGCGCCGCCAGTGGGGCACCAAGCTAGGCACGCGGCGACGCCGGCGCGCCGCCGCGCGCGGCGCGGGCGCCGCGACGCGAGCACCTGCGGTGTGCTGATAGCCCACGCCTCGCCGTCGCCGCCGCCGCGTGCCGGCGGCGACAGCAGCTGCAGCGCGCCCCGCGCTGCGCCGCTGTCGCTGCCGCTGCCGTCGTCGGCCCTGGGCCCACCTCCAGTTGCGGCCGCGTCCTCCGTCCACACGCACAAGCACCCTCCCCCGGGCCGCCACGCCAGCCCGCAGACTGTGCTGCCCTCCGCCCCGACCTCCGCGCCCCCGAGCGCCCGCACCGGCAGCGCCGCCGCCACGCCTGCTGCCGCGTCGCAGCCGCCGGCCGCCTCGAGGGCGCCCGACGGGTCGCCCTGAACCCGCGCGACACGCACGCGCCGCGGCGCGTCCGAGAGCACGTAGGCCACCATGACGCCATTGTCGCCGTCTGCAGTCACCGCAGCCGCCAGCACATGCGACGCGGTGTCGGGCGCCGCGTCGCCGGCGGCCGCGGCGGCCGACCCGGGGAGTGGGAGGGGCGGGGTGCTGCGCCATTCGAGGTCGGCTCGATCCCCCGTTTCCGCCCAGACCAGCAGGGCGGCGCCAGACTCCGCCACAACAGCGAACGCCGGCCGCCCGGCGCGGAGCCAGTCGAAGGCCGGGCCGCCGGGGGCGGCGCCGTCAGCGGCGCCGCTGCTGGGCTCGGGCGGCTGCAGGAGGCTCTGCAGGTTGAGGCCCTCAGCCTCGAAGTCCGCCTGAGAAGGATGTCGTTGGACGGTCGTATTTGATAGAGTATTTAATGTTGGATATTGGGACTTTGGTGATGAGGTTCCCGGGCGAAGAGGCGTGGGGCAAGGGACGGCGGGGCCCACCCACGCAGCTGGGATGCTGGAGCTGCTGATGCCGCGTGCGCAATGCCTCCCCACGCCCATCGCCCGCAGCGCGAGCGGAGGCAAGTTGGACGCCGCAGAGCGAGGTGGGCACGGCCGAGGTGGCTGGTTTCTGGTCAAACCGACAGACCGGCTACTGCGCGGCGCGCGCGCGGCCCGTCTGCTGCCAACCAGTGACTCGCCTGCGAGATCCGCGCGGAATCCCAGGACCCCCGAGCTGGGGCCAGCCACGCCGCCGCGACCAGCCCGCCCGCCGCCGCCAGCGGCGCGCCGCCGGACTGTGAGAGGTCAATTGGGCTGCACCACCACTCGAAGAGCGTGGCGGCACGCGGCGGCGCTGAGGAGTCGGGGGGCGCCTGGCCCCACGCGGTCAGGGCGCCGCCGCGGCTCGCAGTCAGCAGCAGGCGGCGGCAGCCGAGGGGGGACCAGCCCAGGCCTATCAAGTCGTCTGACGGGCCTGCAAGGCCGCAATATGGCGTCGATGGGGTGTAGTGGGGGCCCAGCACTGCTTACCACACGCCCGTGCTGGCGGTGGGGCCGCACAGAGGGGCGTCATGATGGGAATGGCTGAGTTGGCATATGTGCCAAAAGCAGCCCCAACGGATGGTTACCTGGCTTGAGGATGCTGCATATCTGCATTGCGCACCCACCTGACAGCGGCGCCTGCAGCCTGGCCACTCGCGAGGGGTCGTGGGGCTCGATCAGCAGCAGGTCGGCGCACGCGCCCGCCGGTTCCCGCCGCGCCGCGACCGCCACGAGGCCGCTGGCGGGGCACCAGCAGCAGCCGCTGCAGGTCACTCCCTCTCCGAGATCGACCAGCCAGTCTAACTGCGCCGAGCCCATAATGTTTGGCCTGGCCGATCTGGGAATCCCAGTTCCGCGCGTATCACTGGACGCGAGCAGCCATTTTGGACGCTAAACTTGGTTCTTTTATACGGATGCTCCTGGCCTCTGTGGCCCGGCATAGTGCAATGTGCGAAGTGTCGACTGTGAAGTCGCTGCAGCTGCAGCTGCATCGCAAACGACCTGGGCACACTCCAGTGGCCCGCTGGCTCGGCAGGACCTTACCACCCACAATACAGCTGCCTGATCCTTCAAAAGTCTTAGGCAGTCATGTGCACGATCCGCCTGGGAATGTGGGCGACTTGTTCAAAGTGTAGTCAGATAGAGGGAGGGCGGGCAATAGGACCCCAAGTCAGCCTGCAGCCTGGTGCGCTAAAGCGCAGCCTGGTGCGCTAAAGCGCCCCATGCCGTGCCATGAGTGATGCCGCTTCAGTGCTGTATATCCACATGTCGGGGATAAGCGCCTGCTTGAGTGTCAAAATCAGAAACTCGCACGGTCAAGACAGCGGCATACAAGTCAATGTGCAGTCCATGGTGTCAGCTCTCACCTGGCATATCTCACTATCATGCCCTTCGCATTAGCGGTTGACAGTTCACAGCTTTTTTCCAACATGCGCCGAGTCAACGCAGGAATGTGCGAACGTGGACATTCCTTTCAGCCTTCTGGTATCGACATTGAGCAAGCTCCCACACGTGCACTTCAAGCCCCTGCACCACGCGTGCTGCGGGCCGCTTCAAACGGTTCCTCACAAGACCCCTGTCAAATTTCAAATCAGCTGCAGCTTGACTGCTCAGATGACTGCGGCACGCCTGGTTGTGGCCGCGTCTCAACCCCGATAACTGTAGGAGGCCTGACAGTTTCAGAAGGCGGGGGGGGGGAGAGTTAGCGCTGGCGGGGAGGGGCGCGCAGGGGCCGATGG